TTTACATGCTCTCAAGGTCTTTAAAGGCCACAAACCCAGGCAAAGATTTGGTCATCCTCTCGTATTCTCAAAAAATGGGATAGTCGCTTTATTAAAGGCATTTGATCATCCACATAGAAGCCAACCTTAATACTTAGTCTGACTATGAACAAATTTGTTGCAATGAGCACCTAGGCCTCTCTGTGCCCATGAGTCCCCTTCCACATCTTGTTTTTCTTTTCTTTTTTTCCCCCTTCTTTTCCTTTCTTTCTTTCTTTTTTTTTTTGGGTTAAGATAACAAATAGAAAAGTATCCTTAGTATTCGACACAAGTGCAGGGTAGATGTGGAGTGGCTAGTACCATAACTTGTCACCTCTTCTTCTACCCCTATAGTAGAGCACAGATGAGCCGCTAGTTTTTCTTTGTCAAGTGCTTGGTTGTGAACGCCTCTTTCTTTGGATTCCAACTGGCAAGCAACTAAATAACCCCTTATTTTCTTGTTGTTAACATTGAACAAAAATATTAGACTAGTGGCTGAGGTTTTTCCAGATACTGATTCTCACCATGTTAGGGATATCCTGATAAATGCCTGAAATGTAGTCCTTTTGAGAATACAACTCATAGAAAGTCTTACAAATCTCTTTTGTTGTGGGAAAGAAGAATAAGCCCTCACTAATGAAGAAGCTCCACAAAATCGGATAACAAGGAAATGATGAGAGAGTCATTTGCCTTCCATTTCCTTGTCCTCCGGTTGTCAAGTCCCTATTATCATAACTACCTATCAACATTTCTCAACTTGGGTCTTCCTATCAAAAACATTGAATCCAAATGTGACATAGAAGCAAAGCATTTCCATTTAAGTGATATTCATTATTTGGAGTCTTGGGATTTCTAATCGATTCATTGACATGTATGCCGACCTGCATTCATAAAAAATGCACAACTAGGAAATTTTGTCCCCCATCAAGGAAGCATTATGTTTAAATGTGAGAGAAAGCAAAACCCTGAAGGAACTAGGAAACACATGAAACAAGGTTTGCAAGCACTGGACTTAATGGTATAAAAAATGTGCTTAGAAAGGATAAAAGTACTTCTATATATAACTCGTTCACCAGAGTAAAGCAGTTGAAAGCTAATAAGACACAGATTAACGTCATGAAAAATGAACATGAATGGGTGAAGGTGTGACAAACTCAGTAGTGGCACTGCAGAGTAGACAGAGGCGAGAGGCGGCCCCCAAACAGTTTAGGATACAAAGGGCCCAGATGCCAGACTGCCTTCAAGCAAGCAATATGTTATATACACAATATACATAAATAATCCACATATTTATTGAGTATTTATTGATTATAACTACTTTACATGCATACTACGTATATATTTATTATGTATCTTCGTTCTATATAGCTGCTTCGGTCACTGATATTATATGCACAAGTATGAATCCATATAAGTTCATAAGCTGAGATAATTCATTTGTACAAGAAGTTTCTATCTTTAGGTCAGGAATATGCCATTATTTCCATCCAGGATCAAGTATTTTAGAAGAACACATTTCGTATAAAGAGAAGGCGAATGATGAAATGAAATGGGGGAGGTGACTCTTTTACCCTCGCCCATGTGCTGATTTTCTGCTTATGCTGACATGTTCACTTGACAGCCACATGGGAACTTTGGCTACAAAGACTGAAAGCATCATGAGTCCAAATGGGTGGATCAAGCAACAATTGCCTATTTGAGGGATAGCAAAAGGCGAATTGGAGAATCTAGTTTTCCCCAGACCCGAGTGTCTTATTTCTACGAAACTTTGTGAGCAACCAAGTCACCTTGGGGCAAACTCCCCCTATGGATGTTAACAAAAAACCCTAAAAACCTTGGTAATTGAGGAAAGACTCATCATGACCATCTGCCTTGTTGACTTGAAACAAATATTTGCTTGGTTTTTTTGTATGGGGAGTAAGTAGTTGGTGCAAGCCAGACTCTGATCTAGCACCATGAAGGTGGTTGTGCAAGCCAAGTTCTGATCTAGCACCATGAAAATGCCAAAAGGAAGAAGCAACATGCAAAAATTTGAGAGTGGGAGAAGGCAGTTGTGCAAGCCAACACATGCAAAAATTTGGGACCTATTTTAACAATCTGATTAGGAATTCATGCCCCACAAATGGTGTTCACAAAAAAGTGAAAGGACAGTTCCTTGGGAGAAAGATTCAATTACTCACCAAATCCAAATTCTAAAGTTCACAAGGAACAATAAATAATTCATAAGAGCAAGAAATATCTAACCCATAACATCAACAAATATGAAATAAGGTAAATTATTGTTCCATACGTGATCATCAAACAAACATACACATATTTCCTGAAACATGACCGACCTCAGAGATCAGTTTTGGGTAGTAAACAGATGATCCTCAAGTCCACAATATTAATTCAAGATGAATCTCGTTTGTGTACCCATAACATATTAGTTTTCCTTCATCTTGGATGTGTTTCTTAAGTAGCTCCTCCCATTCATTGCACTTCTACTCCATGCACTTATCCAAAATATCACAGTGAATCAGCCAATCATACTCCTGAAGGCACTCGCAAAAAATTGGGAATAAAGAATGAAATTATCCTTAATTGTTTATGACATTCAAAATTTTCAGCACTAGGGTATACTACAGCCACAGGTTGTTGAAACCAGTGTTTCAAGGTTCGCGCGATTATGGTACATTAAATAAAAAGGAAATACATTAAAAAAAAGAAAAAAGAAACAAAAAAAGGGATGCATGATCAGGGAAAAACATGTCCTCTTATCTATTTCTCTCCCTCATGCTTCTCCCTCTCTCTCTCTCCCCTCCCACCCACCCAATAAACTATAGCATAGTTGGCCCCTCTCTCTCTCGCCCCTCCCCACACCCCACCCAATAAACCATAGCATAGTTGGCCTCAAGATTGGGTCTCTCTTGTGCCATGTAGAGGCTAATCGTAAGAATGGGATTGAAGGAAGATTTATTGTGCCATGTAAAGGTTAATTGAAAAGAATGGAATTGAAGGAAGAGTGGCCTCTACAATCAAGTCTTATTGACCCTATTAACCCTAACCGACATGGGAGTTTCAGCCTATTGAGCGAAATGGGATGGATGGAAGGTTGTTCAAGAAAAATCCAAGGATCAGACGATGAGAAACTGCGCCAAGGGTTACTTAAGGCAATTGTAGAGAGAAAATCTTTGGCCATTTTAATGTTACAGAGCCGGATATAAGAAGATGGTTTTTAGATGAAATAATTTGAGAGAGCGAGAGGGTCTAGGGTTTGAAAGGAAGCTGTAGAGAGCCCGATATAGAAAAAAGAGGGCTTTAGAGAAACTGTATAGAAAGCGAGAGAGATGAAATAAAAGAGGCCGGCCCCTTTTTCTATTTTTCTGACTCAAAAATGGTACTCGAATCTTACTATAGCAACTAACCTGAGTGCTGCTGAAATCAGATCGAGTTTTACCATATTACGGGCGAGTTACAACAGTAATCCCCCAAGTATAGCACAAGTAACTCACCGTGAGTTTTCTATCGAGATACTCACCTCGGCACCCTACCAAGTCAGAGTCGACGCGGCCGAGTCCCAGCACACTGATTGAAACTATTGAGAGTGCTTTTTTATAACTGATAGAACTGCATGTGGTTTGTTTTCTGGTATTAAAAATGCACGGGCGTAATGGATGGCTTTAGATTATGGAGAAGTCCTTGCCCTTTGCCTTACCTCATCAAACAGACAATGAAGAAATTTGTCCATGGTGCCTAGTTTGTCACTACCAAAAATTTGAGGTTCAAAGCTCATCTCTTCTCCACAAGTGCATTATAATCGAGATGAATAATATAGGGAGAGGAGACTTCATCCTAGAGGATTTGCAACTCGCTAATATAAAGTAGTTAACCACCAAAAAACCACTTACCAAGAAAAATGAAAATTTGGCTAAAATTATTTGTATCACATTTAAGTTGGAAGGACCCTGCATCATACCTCTAGATAAAAACTTTTAATGTAATGCTAAAACTCATATGTCAAACATAAGTGAGTGAAAGTAATGTATATTTCAATTGAATCTAGCATCAATGCTACAACCATCCTGTATAGTGCTTGGCAATCAAGAAACTAGTCAAAGTAGTAGAGAGGTGGAACTAAGGAGATGCATCTTCGTTTTTCCATGAATAGGAACTATGCAGATACATCAATGAATCTAGATAGCAATTTAACACCATCAAACAATTGAATAGGACAAAACCATTCTTCTTGGCCTAAGTGTTGTGTTTGAACATTTAAAAAAACAATTAGAAATCTGAAACTTAAAAACTGAAAATTTCAAGCTGGATCTAAAGCCCTAAGCAAAGAATCGTCAATAACTATTGGTTCCTTAACACGCACACATTTGTTATCACCACTGGAAGTAGGTTTCAAGAAGAATCCTGTGCAGCTCCCTAGAAATGGCATTATACAAATTCTATTATTTCTAAAGAGAAAAAATGCAATAATACTAGGGCATAAAGAACCTCTTTCCCTTTCCATGAAATCCATGTCCAGTATATGCAAATTCTGATAGAGAATCAAACCCTAATTTAATGAAAGCGTGGAATTGAGCCGTCAAATATGGAATCCATGTAGAAGAACTTGGAGGCACAATTAACGAACAATGTGCAAAAGCCATAATGATGAGATTAAGGCATCTTCATATGGCATAACAGTATAAAAAAAAGCATCCGCATATGGCATGCATAACAGAGTAGAGAGATACATAGAAGAATAAGTTTTGACAGAAAAAGAAGACCGAAAATGTGAAAGAAGGTACTGGAAACATAAAACCCTTGACAAAGGATCAAAAGTGGAAGCAAGAAAGCAAACTGAACTCGAGTCTGAGAAAGTTGCAGCAACAACGAGAAAGAGCAGCATGTTGCACGCAAATGTTACAAGATTTAACACAAGAGCTACAAGAGATATAAAAAGAAACTAAAAATCGAGAGGAAGTAAATCAGGAAGAAAGAGCTCATACCTGTTACAAAAACCAGAGTGTATCTCTCGTGCAACTCTCTCTATCTAGAGATAAGAGTCCCTTTCAGATTACTCTACTATGTCCCTCTGCTTCGTCTCTCTCGAAGTTTCCTGCATACCCTGCAACTCTGGTTTGCTCTCTTATAATTTTTAATTGTTTATAATATTTATCTCTTCTTTCTCTCTTATAATATTTTTCTCACCTGTCTCTCTAATTTTTTTTTTCTCTTCTCTCTCTCTAATTTTTTTAGGGTTCTGTTGACGTACGGATGCATCCGAGGGTGCTCTTGACATACATCTCTCTCTAATCTTTTTTGTTTGGTTGCTGTTGACATACGGATGCATCCGGTGTAAAAGTAACTCAGGACCTTCATATTTTATCATGATGAAAATATTTTTAGAATTATCTCAAAATTTATTTTTACATCTAATTATAAAATTTAAAATTTCAAAAATGGTTATAAACAAGTAGATCTATAAACCTATAAAAATATTGAAAATAGATGGCGTAGATAATATGTTGTAAAATGAAATTTAGAATAAAAAAAGTTATGGCCTACAAGGACTGAGGATTTATCCCCTTAAACCTCGATATTTTAAACAAAACTACTTTAAAATCAAGACTTACAATTATTATGATTATATTAAAGTATGGAAAAAGACTTAATTACTTCAAAATAAGCAGAACACATATAGCGGGTTTATCATGTTCAGGCTTAATGAAGCCCATCAAGAAATTCCTTCATGGTTTAAAAAATTAATGTTATACTAGGGTCCTGCCCCAGATATTTATCCTCAACCGTTACAATGTTCATTGTCTAAATTCCAGGCAGCCAATTGAAATTGGTCGAAACTTGAAATATTAATCCATTTTACCACCTTATATGAAATCTCATGGATACTCAGGTGGACCTATTTCATTACCGAAGATGAAAATTGGGACTATATTCCCCATTTGAAAAGAAATGTACAAATAAAATGGTGGGACAACTTTGATATCAAAGACTTGATCCTCGAAACCATCAAAATTATTAAGATCAAGGTTAATACACCTAGACTTGGTCAACCGACTGGAACGACCTCATACTTAAGGCTCCTACAATTTGAAAATCCTAAATTATCAAAGGAAGAGCTTCGAAAAAAGCTAATATCCATGTTTGACGATGAGAAATAATTCATGTTAATAAGCGAAGGCGATAAAGACCAAAACAAAGACGATAGTGCTGGAATTTTGCCACCTCTTAATTAATGGGCCTGAACGACTCCACCAAACTCCAGGACACGAGGTCCATAACCAAAATACTTTTACTAAAGTAAAAACCTTTTATTCTACGGCTCAGATCTTGCCGACAGAAATCAAAGGGACAGTTGTTACTATTCCTAAACTTTCTACGTGGCAAGGATCACCGACACCACTGACAACCACTATATTTTGCCTTTCCACATGAAATATGTTTTTCATACTCAATTACTCACCATAAATGATGCCAGAGATATACATTGGAAGTCTCAATTCTTAAATGGACTCCCAGCTCTATTCAGTGAAAAGGTTAAAACCAAGCTCAAAAATACTAATAGAGAGAAAGAAATCCTTTATGAGAATTATACTCTAGGACAGCTAGATAATGAGATTTATGCCACCGACTTAGAACTTTGTACTGACCTCAAGCTTAAGAGACAAATTGAAAAACAAAAGATTACTTACAAAAGAGAAATGTAAAATTTTTGTGAACAATTCGGTTATTACCCCTTTTTTGAAAAAACCGACTCCAAAAAATATAAGAGTGACTCTAAAAGAGGTGATTATAATAAAAACAGAAAATATTATAGAAAACAAAAAAGAAAAATGTTCAAATCAAATAAAGATGATGCTGAACCCAAAAATAGGAAGCCAAATGGGAAAATACCCATTTGTAAGAAATGTGGGCGTTACGGACATTTTGTAAATAGGTGTACAGCAAACAAAAAATCAATGAAATTTCTGATGGACTCAAGAGATATTTAGAGCAAATTCTGCCAGTAGGAGACTCTTCTGATGAAGAATTATCTATTTATGAGACAGACTTAGAAGATGAAGTTTTCGAAATCAACAATGAAACTTCTAATAGTAGTGAGGCTGAAGAAGATTGTAAATGTGACCATTACAAAGCCCTATTAGAAATGCAAGGTCTTAGTCTCAATTTACTCTCTCAAGAACAAAATTTGGTTTTAGATATTATTGACAAAATTATTGACCCCCTTGATAAAAGAGATGCTCTTGTTAAATACCTTGCTAAAGAAAAGACTGAAAGTCAAGTCTTTAAACCTACTTATGACCTCAAACAAATAATTGATAGGGTCAATAAAAAACAAATAATCTCTGAAAGGAAAACCACTATTTCTGAGCTGAGGTTTGAAATAAGAAATTTAAAAGAAGAATTACAAGCTCTGAATAATAGAATTACTGTCCATGAGACTTCTGGTTTAGGAAATCTCCAATCACCTGAGAGTTTAATAAATGAATTCGAGAATACCCAAAATCAAGATGAGATTGTTAACATAATTGAGAAAATTGATCTTAAACAACTAAATTATATTAACATGATAAATAAAGTTATTACTCAAAAATGGCATACCAAGGTTACAATTGTTGTCTCCAAATAATACAGTTTTTCAGCCATAGCCCTCATTGATTCAGGTGCGGATCTCAATTGTATTAATGAAGGACTTGTCCCGTCAAGATTATTCGATAAGACTACCCAAGTCTTAAATACTGCTAATGGCAAAAGACTTTTAATCAATTATAAGCTTTTCGAAGCCACCGTTTGCAACAACGATGCTTGTTTCTTGATGCCATTTATTATGGTAAAAGGTCTAGCTCAAGAAATAATTTTAAGAACTCCTTTCCTGAGTCTTTTTTATCCCATAAAATCTTTAGACTCCTCGGAATTGAATATGAGATCCAAGGTCATAAAGTTAAGTTTGAATTTATTGAAAAACCAAAATTAAAAGAAATTATGGATGGACTGACATTTCTAAATGAAGAAAACTAAACTAAAAGAAATTTGAAGTCTGAAGCTATAAAAAGAGGATCTCCCCCTCTTGAGGAAGCACCTCTCCTTGGAGTTCACTGAGTCTTCTTTCCTCAATCTATTTTATTTCCCTTTCTCTAAGATTGTAAAAGGGTTTTAAGTGTGTTTAACGTTTGGTAGATTGGTGTGGTTTGCTAGTGTGGTTTTTATCTAATGTAAATACTTCGTTTTCATATTGTATTATGTATTATTCTTAGTTCGAATGAATATCAATGTCTTTGCTTTAATCCTTTATTTTCTTTGTTATCATTTAATGATTTTCCTATTCCACTTGACGTACTAAAAATTGTACGTCAAGCGGAATAGGAAAAACATTAAATGATAACAAATAAAATAAAGGATTAAAGCAAAGACAGTGAGAAGACCACACCAATCTTCCAAACGCTAAACACACTTAAAACCTTTTTACAATCTTAGAGAAAGGGAAAGAAGATATAATAAGGAAAGAAGACTTAGTGAACTCCAAGGAGAGGTGCCTCCTCAAGAGGGGAAGATCTTCGGACTTTAAATTTTTTTTAGTCTAGTTTTCTTTATCTGGGAATATCAGTTCATCCATAATCTTCCATGTGGAAAGGTGAAAGATAGTGGTTGTCGGTGGTGTCGGTGATCCTTGCCACATAGAAAGTTTAGGAATGTCGGTCCATCCATAATCTTCCATGTGGAAAGGTGAAAGATAGTGGTTGTTGGTGGTGTCGGTGATCCTTGTCACGTAGAAAGTTTAAGAATAGTAACAACTGTCCTTTTTATTTCTGTCTGCAAGTTCTGAGCCGTAGAATAAAAAGTTTTTACTTTAGTAAAAGTATTTTGGTTATGGGCCTCGTGCCCTGGAGTTTGGTGGAGTCGTCTCAGTCCATTAATTAATAGGTGGCAAAATTCTAGCACGATCGTCTTCGTTTGGTCTCTATCGTCTTTGCTTATTGACATGAATTCTTCCTCATCGTCAAACATGGATAGTAGCTTTTTTCGAAGCTCTTCATTTGATAATTTAAGATTTTCGGATTGTAGAAGCCTTAAGTATGAGGTCGTTCCAGTCGGTTGACCAAGTCTAGGTGTATTAACCTTGATCGTAATAATTTTGATGGTTTCGGGGATCAAGTTTTTGATATCAAAGTTGTCCCACCATTTTACTTGTATATTTCTTTCCAGATGGGGAATATAGTCTCAATTTTCATCATCTTCGATTATGGAATAGGTCCACCTGAGTATCCATGAGATTTCATATAAGGTGGTAAAAGAAATTAATATTTCAAGTTTCGACCAATTTCTATTAGCTGCCTGTAATTCAGACAAGGAACATTGCAACAGTTGAGGATAAATATCTGGGGCAGGACCCTAGTATAACATCCATTTTTTAAACCATGAAGGAATTTCTTGAAGGGCTTCATTAAACCTAAACATGATAAACCAGCTATGGGTATTCAGCTTATTTTGAAGTAATAGAGTATTTTCCCATGTTTCAATATAATTGTAATAATCGTAACTCTTGATTTTAGAGGCTTTGTTTAAAATATCGTGGTTTGAGGGGATCAAATTCCCTGTCCCTGTAGGCCAGAACTTTCTTTATACTAAATTTAGAATAAGCAACAATATCATGTCCCATGTATTTCCAGATGATTTCTACTTATCCTGTTTCCTTTAGGATCGTTTCATAAAAGAGTTGTGGTTGAACTCATCTCTTGGATGCATATGATTGACTAGATAAATTTTTACGATTTCATCTGGATTGAGATGAATGTGAATATTATCAATTGGCATAATAGAGAGATGATTTTTCCCAATATTCTGAATTTCCAGTAGACTGTATTAAGTCTTTAGAGATACTAAGATTATTTTCTTTAAGGTTGACCTGCCTTGAGCTCTCGCCTGGAATTTTCATATATTCTTTTCCCTTGGATGCCCTGCAGGAATTCTTGTGTTAAAAAATCAGGTAAAGAGTTAGTATTTTCAATTCCCGAGGAGTCTAAAGATTTTATGGGATAAAAAAGACTCAGGAAAGGAGTTCTTAAAATTATTTCTTGAGCTAGACCTTTTACCATAATAAATGGCATCAAGAAACAAGCTTCGTTGTTGCAAACGGTAGCTTCGGAAAGCTTATAATTGATTAAAAGTCTTTTGCCATTAA